CACTCCGTCTTTTCCACCCTGGAGATAATTAACTTAAGGTAGCAAAGAGAGCCTTAATTATCTTATTTAGCAAAACAGAATAAAAATATATAACTTTCTTTTTAGACAACATAAACTTTAAGTTCCACATATCATCAGATAGCTTGGATCTGAGGGCATATTCTAGGCGAATAGCGCTCAGATCCCACGAACACAGTTCTCAGAATCGTCGACCAAAGTTTTACTTTCACCAGCCGTTCGTGTGTTTGCAGCCGACTGCAAGTTCCATACTATAGCTATCTGGGGTCGGTCACTTTTGCATACTTTCAGCGCACAAATGAAGTAGTACCCCTTCATTCGTGTGTTTTTCCACCGTATGAACGAGGATGGGCGAAGGTAGCAACGGTGTTCGACAAAGTAGGTAGCCAAAATCAGTTCCAGGGAATCCTCACCATTTACCGCTGTGCGTTCGACAATACAAAATGGCGATTGCCACGTGTTCGGTAGGTGAACGCGGACCACCAGCTATTCCCCAATTAGTCTGTGGTTAACTGCAACAGTCAGGGTGGTCAATAGGCACCACACGACCTCAGTGGGAGGTCGGTGGTTCGGTAGTTCATTCGCATTTATTGTTATTTCCACGAAATCCCGCTGTAATCCTCCAAATAACCGAACAGGCTTGTTCGTATAGTCTGTAAATAGGGGATTTCGTTACAGTAATATTAGGACTACTCTCTCCATTCCATCCTCTATCCTATACCTGGTGCCCTTGAAGGCACCATTCTTACTTGGTTCATTTGGCGATATCACACATTTTGTTTATATAATCACCAAACTACCACTTGAATGGAGAAATTCAAACAACGATTATTTGAACACTAATATAGTATGCCATAAAATTTGCTCTCATTTTTTCACATTAGAATTTGTGACAACATTTCTACAATAATAGTTTATTTTAGATAGAGTTTATACTTTAGGTGATTTTCTTGTGGTTGAATTGTGTTGACACATTGTAGTGTATTCTTTTGCTCTCTATAGCGATATCAACAGACTGAAGGGATTCTCTTATGTGTATCATTAATTTTGGTTACATATAAATTAACTCATCTGGATGTAATTGACATCGAAGGCAGTAATATTCATAATAGCTACATTAGATTCTATTAGGTATCTTATTACATCTTTTGATACTATTTATCAGTAACTAAATGTTATTGTTAGCCTCATTCAGTGGGATTCTCTTGGATTATATCCTATTTTGGATTTATTGAGACCATCATATATAAATATTCATTCTCTTTTTTCTTTTTTATGTTATGTGTAAACTCTGTCTAATTAACCATTAGATCATATATTTTTTGTTGTTTTCTTTTTCTTGTGTGCTCCTTGTTTTGTCTGCCATAATTGACTTTTGTTTAGTCAGGCAGCCATCGCTGTTTTTTTTTTTTTTTTTTACAGACTTATGTTCTCAATTATTTAATAAAGTATTTCAGAGATTTTAATTGTGTATAACTTATATTGGTAGTAGGGACAGACTCTGTTCTTTCTTTTTGTTATATATATGCAAAAATGCTCTTGCACTCACGCTTTAGTGTCCCTTTGTAACCGGGTGCTAGCAAGCCAAGGCTGTATTATCCATTCTTCCAAACAGGTAGCTGCACTCACGGATTTTAAAAGTCCAAAATTTATTAATAAATATTTAAAAGGCGATCAACGTTTCAGTCCTGCACAGAGGACTTTCATCAGGATCAAATATGTGCAGGACTGAAACATTGATCGCCTTTTAAATATTTATTAATAAATTTTGGACTTTTAAAATCCATGAGTGCAGCTACCTATTTGGAAGTATATATATATATATATATATATATATATATATATATATTTTTTTTTTTTTATCTTAACCTGTTCAGATATGTAATTGATTATATCCAGAGTAGGGTGATTGGTGACCACCCTGTTGGGCTAGGCTACCGTCCCTAATACCCAACAGGATAATCATTTAACTATGTTTCTGAAAGAGCCTGGGTCTATTCCACTCACTGTATACATATACACATATGGTTCTATCTTACTAGGCAATAAGTATATATTAACAAGGTATTAATACTTTGGGGTATCCCTCTAAGTTCTCTTTGGGACTCTTGTTATTCTATTTGTATCTGGGAACAGCAATATGTGACATGAGAGCTTTCGTTACCCTTATCTTTAATTCATTTTGCATTTGCAAATGTTTGGTCTGTTTTTATATACAAGAACAAATTGATTAAAAAAAAAACATTTGTAGAATCTTTTTTGATAGGTTCTTTGAAGGATATGTTTTTGTAATATAGTGCTTTGAGGTAATCAGTTTGAGCCCCCTCTGAGGACAGTTTTTGTCCCCTTCTTTTCAATTAGGACCCCCACAGGATGTGATGGTGTGTCTGCTTAGGGTGTATTCATAGTTTCCTCATTTTTCCCAATCAATGGGTTATTTCATGAAAAATGTGGCAGATATATGTTGAATACGGGCTATCTGGGATCACTGTTGATATTATGATTGGCAAACCTGTATTTATTGATGTTTGGCTTCTGTGTAGTTTTGTATCTTTATACATGTTATGGTGTATGCTGTTTCTATAGCAACAATCTCCCAATGATTCCCTAGATTATTAGCTTGCGTGATGAGGCAATGACGTCCATGTCACGTGATGAATTTGCGTACGCACACCTTGACGTCGGCGGAACCCGTACAAGATTCACAACGGGCTGACAGGGAGTGGGTAGTGTTCTGGTGATGGGTAAGTTAATTGTATGTATGTGTCAGTAGGTATATAGTGAAGCACTTGTATTGTATTTGTTAGTCCTGATGAAAGTTTGTGTATAAAAAACTGAAACATATATTTTTTTTTTATGTGAAGATAATTAAAAGCTATGTTTTACTTTTTGACAAGTCCTGGGAGTGCTATCTGGAATATATTCTATGTATTTGGCTTGACAAGCACCGGGCAAGTACTTGGATAAATGGAGTGCAAGATTATTTTTCTAATATATATATATATATATATATAATTACAGTCACAAACACTGGCCAAAGTTAGCGTTCATATTTGTTTTTTGCATTTTTCAAACACAAAAAAAATATAAACGCTAAATGTGGCCAATGTATGCTATTAAGTGGCTACTAAAACAGACTAGACATACCTCATATTGAATACCCTAGAACGCCACGTGGCTGAGAAAATGACGGCCATCTTGTTTGTGTGAACAAAGGTAGCGGGACTTGGTCGTCGAGTGTCTGGAACTAAAATCGGACACTCGACTTCCCGAACACCGGTCCAAAACACACGAACGCTGGATCTTCATTTCCCGAACAGCAATAAGAGCGATGTTCGGTACTTTTTGTGCATTCGAATGAGGGGAACAATCGCTGCTAGGAGCCAGGGGTAACCGTTCATGGACATTTCTAATAAGACCGGCAAAACCACTAAAATGTGTGGAATTGTTTTGGGCAGGAGCCTCGTGGATAGCCGGTCCCCTAAGACTTCCATAGAATTCGAAAACCCCTGAACTGATCTGGGTGATTTTGGGATATGTTGGTCACCCAGATCAGGGCTATCAGGGGATACCTTATATTTTAAGGGGTGTTCTAAAAGTTGGGGGAAATTGTTAATTTTCTGCCTGGCGATAATGAAGTTACTACTTTATCAGCCTTAATTATCTCCAGGTCTAGGGGAGGGATTATATATTTGTACTGGGAGTGTTTAACTATTTCTCTGTTTATGATTGGCTATATGATTTATGTTCCTGTGAGAGGTCCCCTTGCATGGGAACTTGCATAAAAGCCAGTGTGGCATCATTAAACTTCAGTTCTGTTATACCCTTCATCTAGACTTCGGCTGATGTTTGGGTGCCTGACTGCTTAACTAAGGGAATCTACTTGGGAAGTTGTTGTTCGTATGGAAATTACTTATTTTATTTCATCAAATGGAGAGTTATAATTCACTTCTACTCTGGCCGTTCGGGAGGAAACTACCGAATGGGTATTGGATATACCAGGTTTCTTTACAATAATCATTTAGTATCTTTATCTGTCTTAGGAAGTTCCAAATGAAAAATCCATAAAGAAGATATCAATGAGATTCTTAAATGGAAAATTTTTTATAGTGCTTTTTCTGTTTAGTCCTTAATCTGCTGAAATTTTGGGAACTCAGCAGTAGATTTATCAAACTTACTTATAAGTGCAGGGTCCAAATGCAATCGATGCAATAGTTTATAGAATATTTCCTGTTCACCCCCAACTGCCGCTGCTCTGCCCCCAACTGCCTGAAATCTGAGTTGGGGTTTAGTAAAAGTGGCAGCCGGACAGCTCTTGCGTTTTCCTACTTGCTATTTGTTCACTATTGTGAGTACTTACCTTCCGTTACCCTGTTTGTTTATTTTTTACTTGTGGGCTACTTAACCCTTTCATTTGGGTATTATTTTACTTTATTTATTCCCTTAGACTTGTCTGTATATTTATGATGCAGTATGACAGGATCTTTCTGTGCCTTCTGGCTCTACATCAAATATGCAGATTACTTTAGAAGCCTATTCAGGTATCTCTGGAGATGAGGCAGATTTTTCTGCTGATTTTGCTGCTCCTGCTGCAGGCTTTAATTCACTCCTCCAAGGCAAAAGCAATGACGAAGGCCCTGGTGTCAGTGATGGGGATTATGTTTGATCTAATTTCACAGACATTTGCCCAGGCCCTGTTACAGGCACAGAGATCGGCTCAGATGACTTCTCAGGTGGCAGTTCCTGCATTCACACCTGCTTTGCCTTATCCTGGCCGTAAGGCATCATATAAGGCTATACACTCCTCCAAAACAATAGAGATGGACAGTACCAAACCTGTCATGGATGGCGCAATTAATTTACCACCGCACAAAAGAACCACTAGTTGGGCAAAATAGACTAGACTTTGGAAAAAAGCAAAAGCCCAACTGAACTTTGAGTCTGAGCTCAGTGATATTGAGGAGGAGTTCCCTGAGTCCTATATGGAGGATTCAGAGGATCTTTCTGATCCTGATTATAAAATTACTGATGGAGAAGATGCTAATCTCGCATGGGATACAGGTTCTATTAAACCTACCAAGACTGAGTTAGATCACGCGGCCTCAGGCAATACTGATAGGATCTTGGACCCTCAAGGTGAACCCCTATTCGAACCTGACGACCTATGTCAACCAGTGGTCTCCTCAGACCACATAGCCAAGTATATTGCATCTAGAGTACACAAGCCTTTTGAAAAGGCAAACCAAAATAAATTGTCGGCTGAATGCCCACGCCGAACAGTCCCTGATGACGCATGTAAAACGCTATCAGTCAATCCTAAAATCATTCAATTCCAGAGTAAGACAGGATGGAAGCCTATTAAAGGCTTACATTTTTCATTGCAAAACTGTCAGGGCATCTTGGGCCCAGCAGAAAAGATTTTTGAAGCAGTAGAGGATGATTTAGAATTAGATTACACCACCTTAAGTAGTTGGATCCAGAGAGTAATCTGTTAACAGATTAAGTGATCTGTTAACACTGTGGTTGCCACAGAACGCCGCAAATCGATTTTGCTCAGATTAGCCCAAATGTTTAACTATGGCTCTGAATTAGCCAGACACACAGGCAAAAGGGTTTCTCTTTGGGGACAACTTTGTAAAAGAATTTGGCTCCTTTGTCCACACATTGACTGCTCTAGATAAAGCACAGTTTTTTATGGGGCCATAAAGCCAGGAGCCATCTGTCCGGCTGAATAAACAGAAGTTATTTTAGACAGAACCAAGACTCTTATACTAGACAAGCCAATTTCTTTGAACCATGCACTATACCAACCTTTTTACCCCAATCTGGTCGAGTATGTTTTTTTTAGTGGCCCAAGAGCTGCCCCTTCAGGATAAAGACCTTATGGCAAGTCTTCACAATCTCCATTCTTCCCTACTGATAGTGGGGATCAGGCTCACACATTTTTCCCATGTGTGGTCCCTCATTTCATCAAGCGTTTAGTTTCTTCACACTGTGAAAGGGTATTGCATAGACTTCCTTTCTCTACCTGTACAATGTTCCCCATCAAGGGAAATAGTTTTTTCCCTGTGAGACGCAGACCTTGTTTCAGAGGAAATAAAAGAACTGATGTGCGGCCCATATCCTAAGTTACGAGAGTAACCTTTTCTTGGTTTCCAAAAAAAGGCGAAGGTATCTGTCCAGTGATAAATTTGAGACAGTTCAATGGTTATTAGGCATATCAGCACTTCCAAGATGGAAGTTTGGCTCCATGGTGCTTCACCAAGCTCATGAAACCTATGGTCGCACTGCTACGGAGTCGGGGAGTACGTCTTGTAATATATTTTGATGGCATTTTCATTCTGACTCAGTCTATTCAATTAACCCACCTTGCATGGACTTTGACTCTGCTAGAGAACCTAGGCTTCCTGATCAATTGGGAGAAATCCGTTATCATTCCCACACAATTAATCAAATTTCTGGGTCATATTGGGTTTTTGTAGATTCTACCCTTCAAACTCTACACCTTCCGGTGGCAAAATTTGCCAATATTAAGAATGAGATAGGCGAACACTAGCAAGCTCTCAACTCTCTCTAAAACAACCATTTTCGAGAATGATAGGCCTTCAAGCAACATCTATACAGGCCATTTTTCAGGTCCTTTTGGTTATCAAGCACTACAACGATTACAAGCTTCATCTCTAGGGCAGCGCATCATACATGGATATTGTAACTCTGGACTCAGAAGTGAAGGATGAACTCCAGTGGTGGTTTCTTCACATTGAAGCTTGGAATGAATGCACCATATTTTGTACAGATCTAGATTTGATAATCAAATCCGATGCAAGTTTGCACAGTTGGGGCACTCAATGAGGAAATATTTCCACCAGGGGCAGATGGTCAGATCTGGAATCAACACTCCACATCAATTGTTTGAAAATTCTGGCTGATTCCTTTGCTGTCCGCAGTTTCTCTCCAACTCAATCCCAATGCGCTGTCATTCTGAAGATGGACAACGTGTCAGCTGTCCACTACATCAATCACATGGAATCACACAATACAAAATTCTGACCTACATGGCTTGCGATTTCGGGCAATTTTGGTGCATTCTGAGAGATTCTGTCACATGTTTTGCGCCTTTTTAGTGTGTCAGCAGATAAATTAGTGAAAACATTTATAGAGGAATTTTATTATGGTAGATTATGATTATGGTTATTTATGGTAGATTTTATTTAATTAGGCCATTCTTCATCAGGATATCTTTGGCATGGGTCCTACACTAATTTTTAACATGGGAGATTAACAAGGTAACTGGAATACTTACTGTTTAAACTGCTTTCAGACAGTCTCCTCAAGTTATGCTTTCATGTAGTCACCTCCATAACAGCTAAACCCTAAAAAATTGTTGCTCCACTCTTTTGTCTTGCAGTTATGCTGCCTCTGCTACTGGCAAAAGTGGACAATAAGAACTTAATAATTTCTCAACCAGAATGCATCTCTTACACTGGAAATCATAGACAATGTTAATAAATCTCCCCCTCCAGTATTTTAGGATGCTGTGTGAGAGTGCCACTTTCCCCTTGATGCTAGCATCACACTGGTAAGGTAGCATCAGTTCAGGACAAACAGCAAATCATTGGTGAAGGCAAGCATTGGGTTTATTCTATTTATTGATCACTATTGCTACATCATTGTGGTGTGTGGTATTTGGAACTATTTCCCTGTTTTCCATGTTATGAAGTCGGTGAACATGTAACATGTATAGCTTGGAGGAAAGACAAGACATTTAAATATATAAAGGGAATCAACACAGTAAAGGAGGAGACTATATTTAAAAGAAGAAAAACTACCACAACAAGAGGACATAGTCTTAAATTAGAGGGACAAAGGTTTAAAAATAATATCAGGAAGTATTACTTTACTGAGAGGGTAGTGGATGCATGGAATAGCCTTCCAGCTGAAGTGGTAGAGGTTAACACAGTTTAAGCATGCGTGGGATAGGCATAAGGCTATCCTAACTATAAGATAAGGCTAGGGACTAATGAAAGTATTTAGAAAATTGGGCAGACTAGATGGGCCGAATGGTTCTTATCTGCCGTCACATTCTATGTTTCTATGTTTCTATGTGAACAAGGGGATAACTCCCAAACTTGTATTATAGTGGCTCAAAATTTTATATCATGTTCCTAAATTGAATAATTATTATCCAGACCTCACACCTCACACAATGAGGATTAAATGCCAACAGAATGGAGGGAAGATCGACTATGGATTACCATTTGCTGTTCCTTTATGTGCTGATAAACTGCAATAGACAGTGTGTGGGATACCTTTTTATCTTTTATCCTCCCTCAAGAGTTGTCTAGCCCTCAAACTATGATGGAACTGTCTATAAATCCCCCTGCAATGCTCATTTATGTTTTGCACCTTAGTATTGGCTTTGTGAATTGCACCCTTCACTTCAAGATGGAAGATGTGTGTAGAATACCACTTACCTACAAAGAAGCCATCTTGCAGAGCTTTGTGTCAAGCTCATCGTGGAATCTAAATGTGCAGACAATAACAGTATGCCATGTACCTAACCTTAGAGTAGAGGAGTCAGAGAGAATGCCAAGGTCATGGACAGGAGAGATATGAATAAATATTATAACAAGACAAGATCAAAGCATACCAGAGATCAGGAAAATTGAGTAAAAGTACAAAATCAGAAACAAGGAACAGGAAATACAAGGAAAGCACTCTTGGGCTACCAGAACCACAGGGCAACATGAAGTAAGACAGGTAATTATATATAGTTTGAGCTTAATTTCTGTTGGACCATGTCATAAGTGATATTCATATGATTCGTGAAAGGTATAAATCTCTAATAGCTCATTTGTAAATTTAATTTTTGTGCACCAAGTTAGGTCCCGCAAAGACACCATTAGGATCCGAATTCAGTCTGGCAAATTCACCATTCAGACCCAAATTTGGCATCCCAGAAAACCCTTTGGCGTCCAGTACAGCTGAGAACACTGGGACATTCAGGTGACCCTGCTCTGCTAATCAAGTTGACACCATTCATCTGATTGCCTGCATTATGTTTGCTAAAGTGTGCTCTATGCCCATCATGTTAGCATGTAGCAGGATAGATCAATATCCCTAATGCCCACCAGAACTATTTCCAGCCTGAAATGCTACTAAGGTTTGACCTCCTCTACAGTCATCACAATGCCCAGGCAACATAGGCTGTCATTGGTGTGCCTTCAAGGAGCTCTCCATAACTCTGTGGTGACATGCACTGACTTAGCCAGCTGCTCCTTCACTAGTACCAAGCATGATTGGTACCATGATGAGACTATCTTCTTACTGAAAGTGAATTATGAGGGATATACATATTGAATAGCAAGAGCATGTTTTAGCTGCTTAAAGGATATTCCACCTACAATGACCAGCTGGGTAAACAGATGATTTTGTTAACCTGCTGTTTTAGTATGACTGTGGCATAAAATCCAACAACATGTTTAAGAGTGGGCTGGCAGACATGTCCATGGGATGGTGTGTGAAATTGGCATCTGTATGTCCCTGCCACCTAGTGTTATTAGGCTCAATGCCTCTACTTTAATATAGGACAGATATTTTTAAATAGATTTTTATCTTTTGATCAATTTATATTTTCTTTTAGGCTTCCATCTGAAGGGTGTTTGCAGTTTCTTACATATCCTTCACTTATTGGTGTGGGAATTCATCTTCAAACCATAGAAACATTGTTAAAATTTATATTGCATGTGTCACTTTCATATTTCTTGATAACTTTAGTCACTTTAAGTAACTGCACTTTTCTGGAAACTTGGCTATCAGAATGTCCTGATTGGTTGGTTTACAAGCTCTTACTGATATTACAGATAGATGACATAGCCTGTGAAAGCTTTTATAAGGGCTATGAGAGCTCAGTCCTAGTGGGATGATGATGAATTCATTTAATTGCATCACATTTTTTTCATTCTTAGTTGGGTTGGAATTTATGGATTTTTATTTGGCCTTTTTGGGGCGCATGAAAAGAATAATTAGACACGATAAGGCATCTGATGTTAAATATATGTCTATTACCCCATTGTTTACTTACTTGAAGTCCCCACTTGAATATTGCTTTTAGGACCTCCAACTGATGTGAATGGGTAGGGGCCAGTGGAAGATTGTTAAATCTTCCCCGGTTATTTTAAAATAGCCCCGACCCACTAGTCATAGGTGGGACATGAGAGGACTATGTTTTCCCCAGTTATTTCACAGGCACCATCCACATGGAATTTGGCATTTCTAACAACTGTGTTGCAATAACTACTCAGTCACTAGTTTTAAATTTTAGTAGACGTGAAATACTTCCCTTATAATAATATGGGGGTGTTATTTACTATTGATCCCCAACAGGGATCCTTATTGGTCCCCAACAGGTTTTTCTTTTCTAATGTAATGTTTTACTTTTAAATGTGACCTGCACTTGCTAGTCAGTCACCACATAATTAACCATTGTCCCACT